GCTTTGTTGTTAATAGACCTGGCATTGCACAACACCAATGACGGAGGAGGGTTCTGAATCCTGACCCCACTGCTGGCCACCCTCGGGATGGGTCGAAGGCTAGAAGGGCGTCACTCGACCTTGCCCCGACCCACCGCCATACCTCCCTCTCCCCAAGAGCACTGGAATTTGTTTCCCATGCATCACTGGCGGGCTCCGCGTAGCTTCAGGCCGCCAGCCGATGGCAAGGTCATACACACCAGCTACTCCAACTAAACAATTTATGCGTGCTATCTGTGCAAAATACAAAACAGTTTTACCAATCTTCTAACTGTAATTCTCACTGCTCATGTCGGGGGTCTTCTTACTAAGCTAATTAAATTAATTTAAGCCCCAACACTCACACTCAATCTTCATACACTCACCCGTACATCCACATATAGCACTCATCCCATTCATCCCAGCAGACTCACACTCTACACTCTTAGCTCCACACCACCATATTCTTGGGTGCCTAGCAGATTGACCAGGCATTGGTGTTCTTCTGGATTTCCACCAGCACATGGGCTATGAGATCTCCCACCCACGTCTTTATTCAGGTAGGGGTGTGCTCCTGGCTCTCTCACCGCCGGGCCAGCCCTACGATGTCCCACCGCCGGCTCTCTCACAGCCGGTTGCAATGTTCCCGTCGGCTCTCTCACCGCCAAACTTCACCACCGCAGCCTCCCCCACCGCTGCTTAGGCACCCTCTTCTTTCGCACAGTCCCTTCTTCAATCCCCGTCTCAGGTGTCCGCAGGCCAGCCGCTGGAGTTTCGGGGCCGGGCGCCTCCCCGGCCCAGCGCCTCCCGCCGTTCCTCGCCACACCGGGATCTCTCACTACTCCACCCTGCACTCCAACGGCCACCGCAACCGGACAGCTCCACACGTGCTGCAAGCTCTCCCGGGTTGTAGGCAGCAGGGCCCAGGCGTCTCCAGAGTTCTGCGTTCTTCCTGCGTCAGCGTTAGGTGTCTCCTGGGTCCTAGCGCACCCCGACACTCTCCCACTATGTTGGGGCGGCTTCACAGCTCACAGCTCGCAGCAGTTCCTCCGGGTCATAGGCCACGGGGCCCGATATCTCCGAGGTCTCCCGTCCTCTCCGCACGTTGGGGCCAGTTGTCTCCCGCGTCAAGAGCTCCCCCCAACACTCTCTCACAGCGTCGGGGTCGAGCCAGTGACAGCACCGCCTCACCGCACGGCTCCGCAGCTCCGCAACGCCCCGGTCTCCTCCCAGGTGTCCCCAAAAAGTCCAGCGCCCTCCTCGCACTCCCACTACGCCGGGCCGCTGGCAAGGGCTCCGCCTGGTCAACCGCGCGACTCCGCGGTCTGCGGCCTCTCCAGCCTCCCTCTCTTGTCCCTGCCGGGTGGGTGTTTCTGTTCTTCTCAGGTACTGTTGCTTGATGTTTATTTGTTTGTTTAATACTCAGTCTTAGCGCAGAG